TCAGTCCTCTAAAACTGATATAAACTTGATTAAAATTAGAGAGAAAAGTGGAAGAAAGGTAGAAGACAGCAGTACAAAAGAAGATGGAGAAAAGAAGAAGAAGAAGAAGAAGAGTTCGATGATCTCCTCTCTCCCCTGTCTAATCCTTTTGTTAATCTTCATTCACTAAGTTAATTACAAGTATGCCCTTAAGTGGGCGGCCAGCTAAGCAAGAACTTAAAGTAAGCTTATAAAAAGAAGTAACAGGCCCACAAAGATAGGCCCATTAACAAACAAATAAATAACACACTACAAAAAAATAAAAGAATAGATACTAGGCCCATTCGGCCCAGTCTCTCTGCAGAATCCCCCTCCAGTATCTTATTCCTCAGGTTTAGAGACTTTGCCAACTCCAGCCCATGCAATGGTGCTAGCTGTTCTGCTCTTATTGAATTTCTCAATCTGATAGGTCCTGAAAAGATTGCCAAGATGCTACCATTGTGATCTCTGATAGTGATAGCCCCCTCTACCCCAGAAATCCCTGGGTTATCCAGGCTGCAAACGTCAAAGTTTAACTTGAACTCACCTTCAGGTGGCAGGGACTGCCCCAAAGAAGTTTCTACTCTTTGGATGGAAGTGGCATTTACAATACCCTAGTTTCTTAACAAATCATCACATGAGAAATCATCAAACATTTTCATAATTTTAATCCCTATGTACTTGCCTCCTTTTTTATGCTCTTGCTTCCTCTTCACAATCAATCTTCCTGGAAAAATCATTTGGTTTGGTCCTACTAATCTATCTATACTACTGTTAAATGTGTGAATGATAGTGTAGAACTTTTGTTTGACTAAAGTACCCAGTACCCCATTTTTTTGAATTTGGTCCCTCTAATTGTAAGGACAGAAATGCAAGTTGAACAACCATCTTTCTCCTCATTGAAATCCCTCTCATTAAGTCCTTTATTTAAGATATTAATTTCTATTATCATTCATTGGATCCTGTACTTGACTAGAATACCCCTATTTTTGAATTTGGTCCCTCTCTAATTGTGAGGGCACAAAATGTAATTTGAACTACTACATTTCTCCCCATTCAATTCCCTCTATTAAGTCTTATATTTAGGATATTAATGGTGTTGGATAGTATTTTCATTACCGTCTCTTGCAGATCAGACACTGTGATTTAAGGATACTTTCTCTGTTTAGGATGCTGCCTGTCCATCCTACTAATCCAAAAAGGTATTTCCTAAGAGTGACCAAGACTTTAAGGAGGAAGAAAAGCAAAAATTTTTCTGGAGCTGCATTTCTTTTGGAGTTTGTTGGGGGATTTGGAAGGAAAGGATCAGAAAGTTCTTTAAAGGAAAACACAGAAATATGGAGAGATTATGTGCGGAGATAGGATCTAATTGATTGGGTTTTGGTGCTTGAAGAGTTTGCTGAAGTCTCTAGAAATTCTCTTTGATCCAATTTTTGGTCCTCGTTAAAACTGGAATGAATATATGTTTCTGGATATGGAAGGATGGAGAATGTCTTTTTGAGATTTCTGATTATAATATTTGTTTTATGTGTTTTAGAGGGGTAAACAAGGAACTTTGTAGTACCAAGATTATAAGCTGTTAGCTTATTTTATGCTTTGGGTGATAGGTGATGTCTTATCACCCTCCCCTTTTCAGGGGCTTGATGTTGTCATCACCATCCAAGCCTTATCTCAACTTATGGGGTTGGCTACGTGAATCCTGTTTTATCGGTCTGTTCTATTTAATGCTTCATCTATTGTTAATTTATTGGTGCTTAAATCATTTCTTACTACTTGGTTCTTGATTACCAATGAAGTAGTAGAAAATAGAAAACAAAAAAGAAAAGAAGGGGTGGTTTGCAAAATTGATCTAGAAAAGGCGTATGACAGAGTGGACTGGTAGTGTCTTTGGAATACCTTGAGACTTAAAGGCTTTGGAGATAAATGGATTTGTTGGATGAAAGGCTGTATTGAATCTACTTGGTTCTCAATTCTTATCAATGGAGCCCCCCAAGGCTACTTTAAGGCCTCAAGGGGACTGAGACGATGATGTCCTCTATCCTCGCTTCTGTTCACTTTGGTAGCAAACTTACTGGGCTTTTTCCTTACGTCCGGTTCAAATAGCAATCTATTAGAAGGTTTCAGTAGGTAGAGAGAAGATATAGATCTCCCACTTGTTTTATGCTGATGACATAATTCGTTTCCTAGAAGGCAAGGTAAGTTACTTCAGAAATTTGAAGAAATATCTCAAATTCTTTGAGGTTTTGACAGGTTTAAGAGCCAATTTAGCTAAGAGCAGCATAGTAGGTGATGTAGCACGATCCGGTCACTCCTAGCTGGCACTCACGTGGCTCCTGGAAGACACCGTAGAAGAAGAAAATTCCCGGAGGGAGTTACCCGGCGGGAACGCTCCGATGATTAAGTTAGTACTTGGTAGGAGAAGCAAGGAGGAAGATGAAGACTAAGAGTGAAGATAGCATGCGTACCGTAGATGAATCCCCCTCCCRCCTTGATGCTAAACTCCTTATAGCAGAAATATGTTACCTCTCCCCGTCAGCCTCTGACAGGGCAAGTATAACCGTCACTGCCAACCTGCCGCAGCCGTTATTGGCAGGGCTGAGGTGGCACGTGCGGGGCCGTCACCGCTGGGTACGTGTCTGTCAGGTGTAGGACACCTTCTAAAGGTGGCAGGCACGACGCTGCCTGACGAGGGCACGGTTGCTGTCACCAGATTTGTCTGGTACGGCGGTCGGGCAGGAGATCTTCCTGCCTTCCCTCATGCGGCTTGCCGAGCTGCCACAAACTGGGGTGCTTCAGGGCAGATGGGTCCCT